ATATAACTGTGGTTTGTATCAATTTAATGAAATAAAAATTTTAATAAAATTCATCCAGATAGATATAGGGTTATGTACACATACATTATCAGGATGACGAGACGAGTTGAAATGCAAGTGACTCCTTTAAGGGGTTWAACGTACATACATTCTAGATCACYAAAGCTACAATAACCAAATCCTCCTAATGATATTTGRTCCCAATTCATGATACCTAGTGCAGCCAGGTCCTYTTCATCTGAACCTTTCAACAAAGGGGAGGTTTACCTCTTTTCTGCTTCCCCCGGCAGGTACAGAATCGAAAACTTTCGAAGCGGAAGTATTATCTCTTGTTCTTCTCAAATGTCGCCGTATAWCTGGTAAAAAAAAGAGGTGGTGTGTGTCGATCACGGAAYTTTTCCAAGATATGATGGAGGTTGAAAATCTGCTTCTTATTAGTTCTTCCCCTATGTATTTGAATAGCTTGGCCGGCAGTCCATCGGCCYCCGCCRCTTTGTTGTTCTTCAGACGAGTAATTGCTATTCAGACTTCTTCATTGTAGGGTAGTGCAACGTCTTCTCCATTGGCATCGATTTCTATCCCCGCTCATGTTGTTATCGATCGGAACATTGCGAGGTAAGCTGTCTGCTTTAACTTCACTGCGACACGACAGTCCTCATCGTAACAGCTGTTCTTTTGAATTTCCTGAAAATCAGTGAGTTTGAAATGTCGGCCCAAAATTGCTTTATATCGACTTTCCGATGAGACACTGACACTGGAGATGTATCGTCCATCAATTACAACGTGATCGATCTGGTTACGATCTTTACGACCCGGAGACAGAAAATTAGGTTGATGAGTCAACCATATGTCGGGCACTTGAGAAGTTGATCAGCCTCAACCCATTTGGAGAGATTTCGCCGTGGAGACTGAATTTTTCGATAGTTGTACCAAAGATGTCTTCTTCGTGGCGGGGCAGTTGCCATAAGCGCAAATTTGGTGTAGATGTCGTGGATAAGCGCGCTCCATCTCCGAAAGGCATCTTTGATTATTTTGTCTTTCTCTCTTTCTYTGTTGAAACCTTTTACTCTGATGCGGACTGTGTCTCAACCTCTCAAGTGAATATCAGCCTCAACGATTGAATCTTTCTCCAACCACGAAATCCACACCGAAGTTGTRCTCGCTTAAATGGCCACTGTAGTAAATGTCACAAGAACCTTCTCGCCTCAGTCCATGTCCCGTCCATCGCATTTCTTGGACGGCGGTAATGTCAGCGTTTACTCTTACGAGGAGATGAACCAGCCGGCCTTCCGAATTTAGGGACCGGTCATTCCAGGTGCATGCCCTTAATTTATAGTCCTTATTATGTTTGTTATGGTCCTTATCAAAAGAGGAGTCTTTTATCCGAGGCTGTGGTTTCCTTTTCACCTTAAGCACGTCCCAAATGAACATTTCTTATCACCAT